CCCCCCCCCCCCCATCTTTGGGGGTCCCTTCTATAAGAAATGAGGGGTTTATTTATAATTTTATGAGAGTGTCATGGGCAGACTATCATGGGTAAAATCGGAGTGGTTCTGATGGACGGTCGATGTTGAATCCCTCGATAATGGATTGTTTACTGAGCATCTGAATATCTTAATGATATCAAAAATCGATGATCTTAAGCTCATTGAATTTGCCTCGTTGAGTCACTCGATTTGAATATAAGCATATCTTGTTTGAAAGCCATTTGGTAATCCAAATTATAGTTTGAACCCTTCAAATGTGCTTCGGTCTTTGATTTGGACTCATTTGGATTCGGATTGAGTCGAACTTGGTGTCGTTGGGTTTGTATTTCTGAGATGTTCAGTTTGACTGTAAGTTTGTTGAAATCGGAGTTCAAATGGTCTCTAATTTAATTTTTTGAAGTTTTCAACTTGATTTTTGCCTCGAGATTCGTGCCCGACCAAGATAATTTTTCGATGATATATCAAGAGCAATAACATTGCTCCAAATGATTGATAAAAATTGTTTTGTATGATTAAAAGAGAATAGAAATATTTTCAAGATGTAAGTTAGTGTTCATGAATTTATCAATAATATTTTATTCAAAAATATATTATAGGCATTGTGTACGTATAATTTTATATGGTGCCCGGTCTTTATATCCATAATCTCATAGTTTTGTCCATCATTAAAGAAGAGTTGTATTCCATTGAGATAGATGAGATATAGTAACAAGAAAAAAACAAACAATTAATTAGATACAAATCTTATTCAATAAATCTTCACGTGTATAGTAGCAAAGTAGTTATATAAGCAGGGGTGGAACCAGTCTTATTTTTCAGGGGTGGTGATGTTAGGGGGGGTGCGGTTGGGCAACATTATTAGTAACTTTTTGTGTTGGCTCAAATTTGGCCCGACCCTTCACTACAAGAATATGGGTCAATAGCGACAAAAAAAATTGATGCAATTGATGAATCATTCAATTTCTTCAAAATGCATGTTGGACTTGCCTCGAATTTGGTTTGACTCATATTTGTTCATATCCTTGATTGTCATACGCTTTACAGATATGTCGGGGGTCCAAGGAGGTAGCACCCCCTGGAACGGTTGTCATGCTCTATCAATTTCCGAGGGAAGGGCCCTCAGAATAAATTTTGCTATAAGAATATTTTTGGAATTCAAATTAATAACTAAAATGATGAATTCTCTTTACTATTTGTTGTGGGATACTGCCTAAACACCATAGTATTTTAAAACTTTTAGTGGGGGGGGGGATTACCTAATAACCCTCTTGTACTAAAGAGTTAAAAAATAAATTGAGTGGGACAAATTATCTAAAGAATCATATAAAAAGTTTTATTTTTTATTTTTTATTTTTATTTTTTTTTTTTTTTTGTGCGTGGGGGCGGGGAGGGGGGGGGATTGCTCCCCTTGAGCTTAAGAGTCATTTGAGATTCATGAGATAGGAGGGGGATAGTCTTACTCATCTAAATTTAATCGTGTAACAATAAGGAAAACGTGTAGTGAAACATAATCAAGTAAATACTGATGAAGAAGAATATAATATTCGACACAAAATTGTTGCTTTTTAGCAAACCTTAATGAATGTTAATTTACTTTATAATGACACAAGGAGTAATACCATTTGATATGATGGTAAAGGGAGAGCTGAAAAGCAAGGATTTAAAAACTCATCATTAACATTAGATGTGAAGAAAAATAACAAACTATTGAAACTAATTTTTCTTTCATAATCTAGAATTGAATCAGGTATCTTTATTAGAAACTATTTATTTTGGAATTCCATGCAATCTCACAATTTCATGAACATATATCTTTGCCTATTTCTCCACTGAATTTGTCTGTTTATTTAGTAATAAATGAGCTAACTTGGTTAATCTATCTATGACAACCCATATAACATCCCAAATCTGCATTGATCTGGGTAATCCAATCACAAAATACAATGCAATTTCTTTCCATTTTCACTCATGTATCAGTAATAGTTATAGTAGACTACCTAGTTTTTTATGTTCAGTTTTAATAATCTAACAGAGAATATATTTTACCAAAAATTCTACAATACTCCTTTTTAATCCTGGCCACCAAAATAACCCTTTTAGTTCTTGATACATCTTTGTATTGTATGGATGAATTTCATAACTAGAGAGGTGAGCTTTTTGTAATATCTCTTATCTTACATTGCCAACTTTTGGAATACAAATTCTGCCTTTATACTTTAGTAATCCTTCATCATCAAATACAAAATTATCTAATTATCATGCTTATACTTTCTTTATGATGTCTTAAAATTTTACATCTTGATACAATGAATTGAATACTCTATCCTTTAAAGTGAATTATATCATCATTTGATTTAATAATATATATTTAATGTCCTTTTAATTAACCACTGATATCTCTAGTCTTTGCATGTCTCTAATTATCTGCTCCTACTAAGTAATCAACCAAATTACTCATCCAAGAGTTTTTCTACTTACTGCATCTGCCGTAACATTTTCCATTCCAAGATGATACTGTATTTCCAAGTCATAATATTTAATAAGCTCTAACCATCTTATCTACATTATATTAAGCTCTTTTTGATTAAAAATATATTTGAGACTCTTATAATATGTAAACACTTCACATCTAACTCTATATAAATAATGTCTCCATATTTTGAGTGAAAAAATTACAAGTGCTAATTCTAAATCATGGGTGGGATAATTTCTTTCATGAACTTTCAATTGCCTTGAAGCATAAGCCACCACTCTATTATGCCACATTATTATACATCCAGGTCCTCTATATAAAGCAACACATAAATTTTGAAATCTTTTTTAACCTTTTTTTTTTATATTGGG